AAAGCCAGGAGGCTGACCTATCCTGTTTCTCCCTGTCTTTTGTTTTTTACTGACATGCAATTCAGAAAACATAAAACTCACCATTTTAAAGTGAATAATTCAAAGGTTTCTATCTTTAAAAATGTGTCATAGAAATCTAAATGTTATAGAGGGTGGATGCAGGGTGGAGGGGGTCAGTGGAGAAAAAGGGAGCATCTGTAATACTTTCAGCAATAAAGATTTTAAAAAGAAAGAAGAAATCTAAATGTTATATGCCAGCAGTTCTCATTTGTAAAGGGTCTGAGGAAAAGAGAGGGCAATTCAGGATTGTTCCAGAAGCTTTTAAAACTTCTATTCTAAATTGAATTGATGTTAAATTTCTATGTAAATCAAAGGATGTCAAATGGCCAGTCCCTTTTTCAGCTTTTAAAAAAAATGTCTTTCCACACCTTTATTCATGTCCCCAGAAACATATAAACAACATGTAGGATTTATTTCATATAAAAATTGGATTATATTATATGCTTCAATTTACAATTTGATTTTTCCATTGAACAATATACATGTACATCCCATTAGAACAATAGACATAACTCAAACACTTTTTTTTTTTTTTTAAATATATCTTTATTGATTTCAGAGAGAGGAAGGGAGAGGGAGAGAGAGAGACAGAAACATCAATGATGAGAGAATCATCCTTGATCGGCTGCCTGCTGCACACCCTGGAGTGGGGATCAAGCCCACAACCCTGGCATGTGCCCTGACTGGGAATCTAACCGCGATCTCCTGGATCCTAGGTCGATGCTCAGCTACTGAGCCACACCCAGCTGGGCTCAAACACATTTTTAAAAATAGCCACAAAACATTTCATAGCTCTCCAATCGATAGGCATTGTACTAGGTTTATACCACTAAAGCCAATGCTGAACATACACATTTTATTTCTATTGGATAAATCTCAAAGTGATTTTTCTGGGGCATAAGTCGTAGTACTTTAATAAATTTTGCAATATTAATTCCCAAACACTGTAACAATTAGCATTCTACGAACATTGGATGTTACTGTTGGTTTGTTTTTTAATTGTAAGCCAGTTTAATGTTAAAACCTTTTTCAGTTTTTAATTTTCTCCTTCATATGCTGATCTGAAGTGTGGGGCCAAGTCTGCAAGTAGACAACCATTTTTCCTGTATCTGCCATTGTCCCATTAGCTGAGGCGCTGGGGGTGGAGACTGTCACTGACGATGCCCAGAGCACTGTGCTCAGGGAATGCCCACCATAGCCAGGAGTTGGCCCCTGGGTCTTGCTCTCTAGGTGTTCGGTGTCTCATTGTCCTGGGTCTCAAGCCTCACCTTGAGGGACCCCCATGCAGAATTCTGCCCCTTCCCCACAGGGCTACTACAAGCGCACACCCGCCTACATCCCCATTCGAAAGCGGGACCGCCAGGGCTGCTTTGCGGTTCCCATGGTGCACTCGACCTTCTTGATTGACTTGCGGAAGGCAGCATCCAAGAACCTGGCATTCTACCCTCCACACACTGACTATACCTGGTCCTTCGATGACATCATTGTTTTTGCCTTCTCCTGCAAGCAGGCAGGTGAGCCCTTGGGGGTTGCTGTCACAGGGGTGTCATCTGGCTGGTTCTCTGGAACCTATACTGAACAAGTCCAAACAGAGCCCACAAAAGGTTCACAGAACCAAAACTGCAGGGTGCAAGGGTGGCTTCAGGTGGGGATGTATCCAGGTGTTCAGATGATGGCTCCAGGACCCATTCTTTCTCCAGTCCTGGCTTTGCTGAGTGTCTTTGCCTCTCAGGTCTTTAGGACCTATTTATTGAAGGCTATTTCCAACTTAATATTTTCCTACATTCTCCCAATTTTCTGTAGTTGAACATAATTGTTTCCTAATTGTGTAATTAGTGGAAAAAATTGTTTTAAAGAGAGAAAGAGAACACAGCCATATTCTAACCTGTCATTTACTTTAAATCAGGGGTTGGCACACTGGCTGGCAGGCCAAATCCAGCCCACTATCTGTTTCTGTATGGCTACAAGCTAAGAATGGTTTTCATGTTTTTAAATGGTTGGGAAAAAATGAAAAGAAGAATAATATTTTGTGACATCTGAAAATTATATGAAATTCAGATTTCAGTGCCTGTGAAGAAAGTTTCATTGGCACACTGCCACTCCCATTTGTTTAAGTGTTGTCTATGGCTGCTTTCATGTTCCAAAGGCAGAACTGGGTTGTTGAAACAGAAACTGTCAGGCCAGCAGCCTAAAATATTTATACCATCTGGGTTGTTATGGAAAAAGCTAGTTAAAATGGAAATTATTTTCATTGAGTTATTAACCTTTTAAAAAATATACACACTCAATATAAAAATTTAAACCACCCAGAAAAGGACAAATGCAGATGGAGGTAATGTTACTAACATCAAATGCATCACCTTTTTGTGCAGAAATGTGCATCTCTTTTTTTTTTAATCCTCACTGGAGGACATACTTAGAGGAACAAAGAGAGAGAGAGAAACATCGATGTGAGAGAGAAACATTGATTGATTGCCTCTGTACATGCCCCAACCAGGGCTCAAAGCCCAAACCTGGGTATGTGCCCTGACTGGGAATTGAACCAGTAACCTTTGGGTACATGGGACGATGCTCGGCTATCTGAGCCACTCCAGCCAGGCGAAATGTGCATCTTTACTGTTCCCCTGCGGTTTTGCAGTTTGTTGGTGTGGAATCTTGTAGGGACTGTGCCAGTCATGGTGCAAGGTGCTTGTTAACAGTTTTGATTGTCAATGTCTTGCCTGCCAGCGGGAACTTCTTTCTGGCTCCAAGTCCTAGATGGAGATCTGAAGGGTTTTTGCTGGTGGTTGAGAACAGTGGGCGGGACTCTTAAATTTCGGGCCCCATGCTGGGCTGTGATGCTGATGCAGTGGTCAGAGGTGGCCACTGCCACTTTGTTGCTCAGTTTTCAATATTGATTGTTGTTTCTTTGGCTCTAGAGGTCCAGATGTATGTGTGCAACAAGGAGGTGTATGGCTTTCTGCCAGTGCCGCTGCGGTCACATAGTACCCTCCAGGATGAGGCTGAGAGTTTCACCCATGTGCAGCTGGAGGTTATGGGTGAGTCCCCCATACCACCCTTTCTCTGTCTTCTCACATCCATCCCCTGAACACTGATTGAGCACCTGCTGTGTGCTAGTGCCTTTGCTGGGCACTGGGAACCTGGCATGAACAAGGTGGACAGTGGTCCCCGCTCTCAGGGAGCACTGGCTTGCAGCAACCATGCATGGCAGTCAAGGTGGGCTTCCTGGAGGAGGTGCCATTAAGATGCATGCTGAGTAGGAGTTAGCCAGAAGAGAATTGCAGCCAGAGGGGGCATTATATGCAGAGACTGAGAGGCTGGAAGACACATAAGCTCAGGGAGCAGATAAGGTCAATGGGGCTGGTGAGCTGGGTAGAGCTGGCAGGGCTAGGACAGTGGCCTTAGACACTGGTGTTTTCCTCAGGGGCAGTCGGTAGCCACGGAGGGTATGAGAGCAGGGGGAACAGCAGGTTTTCACTGATGAACCTTTATGTGCTTGGCAGTGTCTGGGCCACAGCCTTTTTGGGCCATTTCCAAACTTCAGACCTATTATTTATTTAATATATATCTTATGTGTACTCTTTTGTTTTACTTGAATACATTTATTTAAAAAAGGAAATACATATTTTTACCACAGTTGTAAGCTCATGTCTTTCTATTAGATAAACAAATAAATCCATATTATTAAACTAGCAGCCATACCTCTAATGGGCTCCTGAGATGGGCTGAGCACAGGGCTGAGCTGTCATCGAGATTGCTTGAGGAGGGGCCTCCTAGTGGGGATGGGTTGTCTCCAGAGCAAGAGGACAGTGGTACCGTGTCCACTTCTGTGGGGGCTTTGCCCTTCACTGTTACACACATCTCAGAGAAGGCCAGGAAGGCAACACAGCCATTCCCCCCACTATACGTATGGGGAGGGTCCGGGCTTCTGCGGTTGGTCTCAGTTGCCCCACTCTTACCTGCTTCTAGAAGGTTCTCTGTGTGTGTGTGTGTGTGTGTGTGTGTGTGTGTGTGTGTGTGTGTCTGTCTGTCTGTCTGTGTCTATATGTCCCCCTGGTGGTTGAAGATGGAATGGCACACTCCCCACTGGAGGGGGTGGGGTGGATGCAAGGACTTTGGTCTTTTGAGGTGATACCTGGAAGCTGCAAAGTCATCAGGGTGGAGACCCCACAGTACCCAAGTGTCTGTTACATGCAGATGCTCAGGCCTAGGCCAGGAACCCCACTGGGCTTGTCACCAACTCCCACCTGTGACTGGACTCTGAGAAGCATCCCTGTGGCTGCCATAGTTTTCCTAATTTAAATTTTCACATATATTTATTGTTTCTGGTCAAGAAACCATTAGCACTGCTGTTATCAACTTGACCATGACAGGGGCATGAATATCTTCCTGTTTCTTTCTTGAGGGCCAGAGCTGAGCACACAGAACAGATGGAAGGAGGGCATAAGGGTTTCAGATATTTGTGTAAGTCCCTCTTCTGTTCAAGTGAAACCACATTTTCTCTCCATGTGGGTGTGGGTACCTGGACTTGGGCTGTACGCATGATTTTTCATGTGTTCAAAAAATCTTTCTTATAATGAAATTTCAGCCCAGCCGGGCGTGGCTCAGCGGTTGAGCGTTGACCTGGGATCCAGGCGATCGGGGTTTGATTCCCGGTCAGGGCACATGCCCGGTTTGTGGGCTCGATCAATGACTCTCTCATCATTGATGTTTCTCTCTCTCTCCCTCTCCTTTCCTCTCTCTGAAATCAATAAAGATATATTTAAAAAAATTAAAAAAAAGAAAAGAAATTTCAGACTTGCAGAAAAGCTCAGGGTGACAAGATCCCACCTCCCCACAGGTAGGTGCTCTCACCATTCATACCCCGCATTGTGGGGGTAGAGCACAGGCTCAGAAAGGGACAGGCAATGGAGATTTGAGTCTGTTATAAGATCCCAAAGTCCTGCTCTTGGTCTCAGCTTTCCCAAGGAGGGTGGGGTGGCCAGGAGCTGAAGGGTTCTGGGTGGGAGGAAGCCCTGGGATGTGGTGGCCTTGGACGAGGTCCAGGCTATGAGGTGGAAGGTTCTGGGTTAGGTCTGGGCCTTGCCCAGGTCTCTTCCAGACAGAGGGACCTGTGTCTGCCCCTTGGCTCACATGGGGACTTTTTTCTTGGTGAGGCAGATACCGTACTTCCCATCAAGCTGGGCTTTTCTGGGCCAGCCTGGTGGGCAGGCATGGACCTCTGCAAGCTCATGTCTACCTGAAGGTCCTATCCTTCTGTGAGAAACCATCAGGGATATATCAAGATCGCCCTGGGTATGTGGTCTGAGCGTTGCTCACAGCAGCTAAAAGGGAAACAGTCATGACTACTCTGAAATTCTGGGCAAAGCTTGGCTTGCAGACGTGTTACCCAGTCAGATGGCCATCTTCCCCCTGTGTGTCTTCTCTCTGTGTGTCTCTGTGTCCCAATTTTCCATTTTTAAAATCCTCGCCTCAGGGTATTTATTGATTTTAAAGAGAGGAAGGGGGGGAGAGAGAGAGAGAGAGAGAGAGGGGGAGAAAGAGAAACATCGATGTGAGAGAAAAACATTCATCGGTTGTTTCCCATATGTGCCCTGACTGGGAATAGAACCTGCATCCTTGTGTATGGGGTGACTCTCCAACCAACTGAGCCACCCGGCCAGGCCAAATTTTCCATTTTTATCAGGATCCTAGTCATAGTGATTAGGGCCCACTCTAATGACTTCATTCTATCTTGAACACTTCTGTGAAGACTATTTCCAAATAAGGTCACATTCTGAGGTCCTGGGGGTTTGGACACCAACATAAGTTTTGTGGGAGGACACCATTCAACTCATACAAGTGCGATTTCATGGCATCGTTTCATGAATAATCCTCTCAGAGGTTATTAGCCCATTTTATAGATAAGGAATCTGAGGCTCAGATAGGTCAAGGTCACACAGCTTGTTACTAGTCCTTGGTTCATTCTGTGAGCAATTATTGAGTGCCTGCTGTGTGCTGAGCCCTGTGTTGGGCACTGAGGACCCAGTGTGATTGGAAAGACCTGGTCTTCATTCCACGGGCCTCACAGGAGACAGACAGCGAGTTAGGATAGCAGGATGGAGGTTTGATGATGGAAGCCTGGTGTTGGGGGGGGCTGGGAGGAGGTATCTTACTCAGCCTGAGTGAGTCAGGAGACTTGCCTCTCCTCAACATGGCATCTTAGCTGAGAACTGGGTGGGAAGAGGAGGAAGGAATGGTATTCTAGGCCTAGGCCCAGCATGTACAAAGGTCCTGAGGTAGGAACGGGTGAGTTTGGTGTGCTAACAGGAGAGTGAGTAGGAGGTGAGAGAGACTAGCACCAATGTTATGGATAGGGACAGGTCAGGCAGTTCTCCTACCCCAGGCTGAGGAGCTCAGGGTGATATGGAGCCATGGAGGGGATAGGGAGGGGGCAATGGAAAGAGGCTGGAATGTCCTTCACCCCATGACCCAAGCAACTCCTTGGTTTCTTTCTGCCCTGCAGTGAAGTACCCCCCAGCAGAGCCCTCCCGGTTTGTCTCAGTGCCTACCAAGATACCCGACAAGATGGGCTTTGATGAGGTGGGCCAGACCTTCTGGGGTAGGGAGGGTGGAGGACAGGGCTAGAGAGTTTGACAGAGGCTCTGTGCCACAGGTCTTCATGATCAACCTGAAGCGAAGGCGGGACAGGCTGGAACGCATGTTGTGGGCACTGTGGGCACAGGAGATCAAGTTCCGGCTGGTGGAGGCTGTGGATGGGAAGTGAGTCCAACTCTGAGGGGAGGGGTGTAGACCATGCACTGGGGGTCATGGATGGCAAGTGAGCCATACCCTGGAGGAGGGATGTAGACCACACTGGTGGGGGCCATGGTGGAAGGGAAATGAGTCCCACCCTTCTAGCCACGCTTGGGTAGACTAGCCCCTGCACGCCTGGCCACAGGTCCAGGAGGAGGCACCAGTAATTAAAGAGGGAAGCAGCTGCTCTGCAGGAGGGGCACTAACTAGTGGTGGAATGGCAGACAGAGTGGGTTTTCCACTGACCCCTTCCTGTCCCCCCTTCCAGAGCCATGAACACCAGCCAGGTGGAGGCACTGGGCATTCAGATGCTGCCCGGCTACCAGGACCCCTACCATGGGCGGCCCCTCACCAAGGGAGAGTTGGGCTGCTTCCTCAGCCACTATAACATCTGGAAGGAGGTGGGTCCAGCAGGGTAGAGGGTCTGGCAAGGTGGGTAGGGCAGGGCCCTCCTCAGCCTTCGCAAAGCTCATGGAGGGCATTGCCTGCTCCCTAGGCAGATTCCAAGGCTGCAGCAGGACCCAGGGCCTCTCTTTAGGGAATGTCCTTCCATTGTGCAGATGTAGAAACTGAGACTGGGGAGGGAGAGGGGTGAGCTCAGTTTCCAAAACAGGTTGGGTCCAAGGCCAGTTGAGGCCTCTTCATACCCAGCTTCTTTCAAATGTCTAGAGCCTGGAATCTGGCCTTGACATTTACTAATAGAAGTAACAGCCATCTATTAGTCATCAGCCACACTTGGAGAGAGAGGCTGTGATAGGTCAGGATGCCTGGCTGGAATTTGAACCTGGGACTGCCAGGCATGAAGCCCAATGTGGTGTCCACATATAGGGTAGGAGGGTGCTCTGGAGGGGGTGTCTGGGTATTTGAGATGATGAGTGCTCACTTGGGTTGCCCTCCTTTTCTAAGATTCATTGTGGATGGCATAGGGCAGAGGTTGTGGTATCCAAGAGGCCCTGAAGCCAGAGGAGGTCGGGTTTAAGTCCACCCCTGCCCCTTAGAGGGCTGAGCTCTGTAAGCAGGAAGGCACTTCCCAGCCTGAGCTTCATTTTCCCCATATGACAGTCATGGTGGCTTCAGGGGGCAGTCACGAAGATTCTCAAGATCATTTATTCAGGGAACATTTGCTAAGCACCTACTATGCTCCTGGCCTGGTGCTGGGGTCAGGATAGCCACTGGGACAGGCTCAGTCCCTTGCAGGGAGCTCACAACCCTGGGAAGTGGGAGGGCTGATAATAAACCACAAAGAAATAAATCAGAGTTAAATAAGTGAGATACATCTAGAGAGGGGGACTAAGGGTATGAATTGTCCTCAGCTGGCAGCTTTGGGTGGTGGTCAGGAAGGGCTTCCTGAGTGGGTGACATTGGATCTGAAGTCTGAGGGTGAGAGGTAGTCTACCTGCCATTGCGTGGGGGAGGGTGCTATGTGTCAGCACAGTCCCAGGCCCTGCAATGGGAAGGAGCAGCCAGGCCAAGGCGTCTGTTGTTGAATGTTGGAGTAAGTGGTAGTCCAGTGGGGAAGTTGACGGTGGCGGGGAGGGGTATGTTTTCTTCTCTCCTTCTGCCCCAGAGCCTTTAAGCTGAGCTGGCTTCAGGGTTAGGCCAGGCCTTGGTCTCCCTCAGGTTGTGGACAGGGGACTGCAGAAATCTCTGGTCTTTGAGGATGACCTGCGCTTCGAGATCTTCTTCAAGAGGCGCCTGATGAACCTCATGCGGGATGTGGAGAGGGAAGATCTGGACTGGGACCTCATGTGAGTGAAGCCTGGGGGTGGAGCCTTGCCAGGGGGCATGGTCTGGGGCAGAGGCATAACTGGGGCATGGCCAGCGCCCAGAGGTAAAGTATGGAGTGGGGTGGAATTGGGGCTTGGGATGGGGCCAGAATTCAGAGGTGTGGGATGGGGATAGGGCTCAGGGGCCTGGTGTGGAGTAGGTTGGGACCAGGGCTCAGGAGCGTGGTCTGGAGTGGGGTGGAGCTGGAACCTGGGGGTGGTGCTAGAGTTCAGAAGAACATATAGGTCTGAAGGCATCTTCAGGGTAATAGCTCCGGCCAGCTCTTGGAAGTATGGCAGAAGGGGTACTCTGTGTGTGTGTTTGTAGCCTGTGTGAGGGGTGGACCTGAGAGCAGTCAGGGCTTAGAGCGTGGCCTCAGGCCTATGGGTCAGGTGTGGCCAGCATATTTCTGGAACAGTTCTTTGGGATCTCATATAGGGGGGTTTGTTACTCCTCCCCCCCGCCCTGCAGTGTGCAGGGCCCTAATAGTAACTGCATCCCTTCATTCCTGACTGGTCACTGTATCCTTGCACCTTACTCCACTGCCCCATAGCCCTCTGAACCCAGAGCAGCTTCCCTCTCAGCCCCACTCTTCTTCCTTGTGGCACAGCCTCAGAAAACATCCCAGAAACCCCATTCTCCCCAGCTCCAGATCCTTCCATGGCTCCCTAGTGCCTTTGGAAAAAATCTACCCTCCTCCTTGAGGGCCACAGACCCCTCTGGTCCTGCCAGTCCAGCCACATAGGCTCCTTGTTGTGCCCCAAACACGCCAAGCCTGCTCCCACCCCAGGGCCTGACAGGGGCTCACTGGTGGGTGGAAGGAGGGTGACAGGGTCTCAATTCTGCACCCCAGCTATGTGGGCCGGAAGCGGATGCAGGTGGAGCATCCCGAGAAGGCTGTGCCCCGTGTGAGAAACCTGGTGGAGGCCGACTACTCCTATTGGACACTGGCCTACGTCATCTCCCTGCAAGGCGCTCGCAAGCTGCTGGCAGCCCGGCCACTCTCCAAGATGCTGCCCGTCGACGAGTTCCTACCAGTCATGTTCGACAAGCACCCAGTGTGAGAGGGGGTTGCTGCGGGCAGTGGGGCTGTGGTCTCACTGTGTAACTGTCCTGGAGGGGGCGGGCGTGAGGTTCTCAGACCCCCAGGAAGGTGTCTTTTTCTCTGCCCACTTCCTCTGTGTGTCCCCTCCATTTCTGGCTCCATTTGAATGCCACCCCCTTCTGTCTCATCTGTCCCCTTTCACTTCCCCCTCCATCTGTCCATTCCTCTCAACCCACTGCTGCCCCTCACTCACCCCCCCTCCAGGTCCGAGTACAAGGCCCACTTCTCCCCCCGAAACCTGCGTGCCTTCTCTGTGGAGCCTCTGCTAGTGTTCCCCACACACTACACAGGGGATGATGGGTATGTGAGCGACACGGAGACCTCGGTCGTGTGGAACAACGAGCACGTCAAGACTGACTGGGACCGTGCCAAATCCCAGAAGATGAGGGAGCAGCAGGCATTGAGCCGAGAGGCCAAAAACTCGGATGTGCTACAGTCCCCGCTCGACAGCGCTGCCCGGGATGAGCTCTGAGGGGCAGTGGCTAAAGCACCACAGCAGCCTCCAGAAGCTTGCTGGGGACAGCAGGGCCCCTGAGGACCCCTGGCAGGCCGCAGAGGACTCTCCATGCAGGGTGGTGGCCTGCCAGCTCTTGCTCAGCAATCGTGCACACAGGCAGCATTAATGGAGTGCCTACTGTATGCCAAGAATAGTGTTTGGCACTGGGAGATTGGGTGGGAACAAGCCATCATTCATCTCTCCATGTGCCTTACATTTTTAAAGCATTGACTGTGTACCAGGTTCATGCATGATGGCAGTGAATGAGGCATAATAATTTCCTCAGTGATGACTCAGTCATCAAGCATTTATTGACACCCCCCACAAGAATCAGGCACTAGTGATACACATTCATTTTTTAAAAATTAATTTAAGTATTTATTGAGTGCCTACTGAATGTTGGGCACCATTTCAGGCTCTGAGAATATTGAGATAAACAAGACACTTTCATTTACTCAAACATATTAGGCACCTACTATGTGCCCGGTACTTGTGACACAAAAGTTCTTATTGACTCAGTGCTTTTATTGAGTGTCTGCTTTGTGCCAGGAGCTGAGCTTGGTGCTAGGGAAGGTGTTTTTTCACTCTTTAATTAGTTTCTTCCCCACACCTGAAGAGCACCTACTGCGTGCACCAGGCATTAGTGATACAAAACAGTATACAGTTATTCAGTCAGCATTTGATCACCCACGTGTGCTAGGCCACAGAGATGAACAAAAAATTACCTTTCATTTCTTCATGTGTTGGGCATTTATTGAGTGCCTGCTGTGTGCCAGACCTTGTGGGTTCCCAGTGGGGTAGAGAATAGCTGAGCTTGTGTCCTTATTTGTCCCCCAGTCTCCTGAGCTGTGTGCAGATCACCACCCAGGAGGGAGGGTGACCATTCTCTCACCAGGGCCTTCTGCTAGTCCCAATAACCACATGGCCATGTGCAGGTTCCTGCCCCCAGCCCCCCTGGAGGGGGCATGTTGAGAAGGGGGGCTGGGTCTCCCCTGCCTCCCCTGGTCCTGTTTGCTTGACCTCCCAGCCCGCATCTCAGGTGTAGGCATGCTGTCTGCCTGCTCAGTGGCATTCCTCTCTGGAAGCCTTTGGCGGGCTCGGCAGCACTGGGGTGCTGTTTGCAGCTTGAGCAGGATGTCCTCCAGCCTTGCTGTGCCTTCAGCCAGAAATGAATGTCAGAGCTGGCCAGCGGTCCTTTACTCTTGGGGATGGACACTGCTCGCTGGGTCGGATCCTGGATAACTTGCTTATTTTTTAATTAAATTCCTGGTTGATTTTTCACATAAGTCTGTGTTCTCTTCTTTTTTTAAATCCTCACCTGAGGATATGTTTATTGATTTTTAGAGAGAGAAAAAATACATTGATGTGAGAGAGAAACATTGATGGGTTGCCTCCCATAGATACCCCAATCAGGGATCAAACCTGCAACCTAGGTATGTGCTCTGACCGGGAATTGAACCTGCAACCTTTTTGGTGTACGAGATGACACTCCAACTGAGTCACCCGGCCAGGGCTGTGTTCTCTTCTTGGTCCAGTGCTCCGCTCACTGCCAATATACCACACCCAGTCCCCACCCCTGTTGCTGCCAAGGTGTGGGATGGAACCAGGTGCTGGAGAGAGGCTGAGGGAGGAGGGAGTGTGGGTGAGGGGGCAATGAGAGCCCTGTGGCCCAGCCTGTCCCATAAAACATCCTCAAAACAGCCCAGGGACAAATGGCCAAACTCTTTCTGTCCTGTGGGCTCAACTGCAGGATTGTTTCAGGTGACAATGTGGAGGGGGACTTTCATGGTTTGGAATCCCCCAGAAAACAGACCCTAAGATGAGGATTTGGTATGCAAGAGGTCACCACAGGAAGGCCCGATGGAGGTGGGGACATGGGACAAGGAAGGAGGAGCTCTGCAGGGGGCACCAACAAGCAGTTGGACACCTGGGGACCTCAGGGAAACAGCCTCAAGCAGATACCTCACTGGTCCCACCTCAGGGATTTGGATTTTCTGTGTCAAATACTTCAGGGTTCTCAAGATACTTAAGCTCTTAGGGAGCATAGACATATACCTGAGGCATTTACAAAATAACACATTGTGTGTGATCCTTGTGGAAAAATTGGGACATACAACTAAAAACAAAATTAAGTCGTCCTTAGACACAACATTTTGGTAAAAAAGCCTTCTAGCCTTATCTATGGAGCATATCTATACACATTTTTAAAAAGAGGATCATGTTGCCTGGCTGGTGTGGCTCAGCGATTGAGCGCTGACCTGTGAACCAGGAGATCATGGTTTGATTCCCAGTCAGGGCACATGCCGGGGTTTCGGGCTCGGTCCCCAGTAGGGGGCGTGCAGGAGACGGCCAATCAATGACTCTCATCATTGATGTTTCTCTCTCTCCCTCCCTCTCTCTGAAATCAATGAAAACATATATATATAAAAGAGGATCATGTTACATAAACTCTGCTGCAACCTGCTTTCTTTTCCCCCATGAAACACATTTATATTTCATAAACAGGGAATCAATTTTCTTTCAAAATTTAACAACATATTGTTTACCTAACCTACACAGATGTCTACCAGTTCTTTTTGGGTTGTAACATAGACTATTCTGTGATGGGGTGGGCCACCATTTTTTGGACCATTTTGGTTGGAGAACATCACAGCCCTTAGTGAACAGTATCATACGATACATCTTTGCTGCTGGAGTTTTTTTGTGTTTTTTTTTTTGAGAGGGCTTTCCACTCCCACCGAGGGCAGTGCCCGGGCCGCATCTTCAAGACCAAAGAGGAGTCTGCCCGGCGAACTCAGCTTTCCCAGCCTAGTCACCAGAAGCCAGTTTGCCTGGAAGTGTCCAGGATGTGGCCCCACGTGCAACCTGGGTCTCGCCACCCACACGGACTGCTCTCTCTCCCAACCCCACATGCCACCACCTGGGGAACCCCCACCGGGGATCCCGACCCCCACCTCCACCCCTACCCCACCCCCCACTCACCATAACTGAGACTAGTAGGGCTTTGCGGGGCTGAAAAAGGCGAGGGACCGGCAACTAGGACCTCCCACTGACAGATTACCAAGGAATCCGGGGGAGAAGTCTGGAGTTTATATTTCAGTGGGTAATTGATAACAGCTGGAATTGCTGGGTTAATAGAAATATGCACTTTGTATTTCAGTAGAAGCCACTATAGTTCCTTTTCTTGTTACCTAACTCTTCATTCTCATCGTGTGGATGATCCGAATTTAGCAACCAGTCCACTCTTATGGGATGCTGGAGTCACATCTCATGTGTTATAGTTACACGTGATGTTTTCAAATCTTTTTTTAACCCAGTGAATCTCAATTGGGAGTGATTTGGTCCCTCAGGGACATTGGGCGATGTCTGGAGACATTTCTGGTGATCATCACTTGGGGTGGGTGCTATTGGTATCGAGTGGACAGAAGGTAGGGAAGCAGCTACAAATCTTACAGGGCACAGAGCAGCCCTGTAACAAAGAATGATCAGGCCCCCAAAGCCCACTAAGTCAGGATCGAGAATCTCTGCACCCAATACCATTCAGCCTCTTGGGGGGCATGAGTCTCTAGAAGGGTCTTCTTTGCAGCATGAGGTGGGTTTTTATGCATCAAAGTGTCTCTGATTAAAATAGATTCTCAGGCTCTGCCTCCAGGTTGAAGGGGTTAGAAGCTTGGTGGTGGTGTCTGGGAATCTGAATTTCATTTTGAGTGCCCCACCCTCCATCCAATTATCTAACTCAGATCTTTCTTTTTCTCTCTTAACCTCCAGGAGAGCCACATCATTCTCTCTGTAATGTTTCATATACAGAGTGTTTTAATGTTATTTTTAATTGAAAAGTGATTCATGTTCATGGAAAAAACCTTCAGTAGGTCCATTGGTTCATTGTCTTAGCTTGGTATGGCTGCAATAACAAATTTCCACCAATATAGTGACTTAAAATAACACAGGGTGGCTCAGTTGGAGGTGGCTCGGTTCAGAGTGGTCCAGGGCACCGAAGGGTTGCTGGTTTGATTACCTGGGTTGTGGGTTCAATTCCCAGTCGGGGAGCATGTGGAAGTCAATTGCTGTTTCTCTCTCACATCAATGTTTCTGTCTGTCTCTCCCTCTCTCTCAGCATGTACTCAGGTGAGGATTTAAAAAATAAAAATAAAACAACACTCATTTATTCTCATGTCGTTCTGGAGGCCAGAAATCTGAAATCACTTTCTCTGGGCTACAGTCAAGGTGTCAGCAGAGCTGGTTCCTTCATGAGGATCTAGGCGGAGAATTGGTGTTCTTGCCTTTTCCAGCTTCTGAAAACTGTTGGTGTCCCTTGGCTTATGACCCCTTCCTGCATCATTCCAGCCTTTTGTTCCATCATCACATCTGTCTCACCTGACCTTCTTTCATTCCTCTTCTAAGGACCCTTGTGATTGATTACACTCAAATAATCCAGAGTAATTGCCCCATTATCTCAAGATCCTTAATTTAATCCCATACGCAAAGTTTCTTTTGCCACTTAAAGTAATATTCACAGATTCTGAGCATTAGGACATAGATATCTTGGGGCGTGCATTATACAGTCCACCCCATTCATCCTTCAACAGAGCTGCAATTATCTGGCTCCATGGATGTATCATAATTTATTATATATCATAACACAGTTATGGTGGGAAAGAGAAACCACTTGAGGTCTTTTAATAGGAAAGGGGTTAATATAGGGAATTTGCAAAGACTTTAAACTCTGCCTTTGAATAATGAAAGCAGCCATAGACTGAGTTGAATGAATGAATGAGTGTGGTTGTTAGCTAATAAAACTTCATTTATAGCCCTGGCTGGTGTGGGTCAGTTGGTTGAGCATGGTCCCCTGCACTGAGAGATAATTGGTTCAGCTCCTGGTCAGGGCACATGCCTGGGTTAGGGGCTTGATCAAAACCCCCACTTCATTTATAAAAACAAACAGTGGGCCAGATTTAGCTCAGGGGCCATAGTTTGCCAAATCCTGGTGCAGAGGAGCAGGACCCCGGCTGGTCCTATAGGAATGATTTTGCAAAACTGGCTCACCAGGGAACTGAGCCCACGATCATGGAAGACAGGAAGCCAGGGGGTCCTTGAAACCTCCAACTTCGGGCACATATCCCATTATCTGTGATTCAAGAATAGGACCCACAACTGCTTTTCATGCCCACCAACATTGGCTGCTGGCAGAGTGTAGAGGAGAAAAAACAAGATAGCACCAGCTCCTTCTTTTTAAAGTCCCACCGGCGCCTCCCTCTGGTGGACACAAACACATGGCGGGCAACATGGAAATCTGAGGGCATGGCAGCAGCTTTGCAGCCTCTGCCCGGAAAGGGGTTGGGTGGGGCGGGGCTGCTTTCTACCCACCACCTCCTTCTTGTTTATTTCTGTATTGTATTGGGATGATAAGAGTGATTGTGTAATTGTAGGATGCATAATCATAGAAACTATTATATGTAACTGCAGGATTAGGAGCAGGGTAATTAGTATGCAATGTAATAAATTATGTAATGAAATGTAATTTTACAGAGATCATGAATCACATAATTGTGTTACACCCTCCAGGAAACTGAGTGTGTGTCTTGTTGACATTGCCTGGGTGATCCTGCCATGTGTGCAGGTGACGTGGTGAAAAGGCATGAATAAGTGGGGGTGGGATTAGAGTAGATTAAGGGGGTGCGATTGGGAGTGGAGGCTGGGGCGAGGCTGGGGCTGAGGGTTCGGGTGAGAGTGGAGGGTGGGTGAGCATGAGGATGGTGGAGAGTTAGCCTAAGGTTGGGAAAAGTGAGGAGGGGCAGTTGAAGAATTGATTAGGTCGAGGAGTTGGCAAATTATGGTCCATGGGCCAAATCTGGCCAGCCACCTGTTTTTGTTGTTTGTTTGTTTTTAAAAATACATCTGTATTGATTTCAGAGAGAGGAAGGGAGAGGGAGAGAGATAGAAACATCAATGATGAGAATCATTGATTGGCTCCCCCCTGTACACCCCCTTCTGGGGATGGAGCCCGCAACCCGGGCATGTGCCTGGATCAGGAAGCGAACTGCCATCTCCTGGATCCTGGGTCAATGCTCAGCTGCTGAGCCACGCCCAGGCAGACTGTTTCGGTTTTTTAAATTGAGGTGAAATTCAGATAAAATAAAACTAGGAGAAACAAGATGGCGGCGTAGGTAACAGCTGCACCAGCCGCCTCCCGCAACCACATCAAAATCACAACTAAAATACAGAACCACCATCACTCTGAGCCTCCTGAAACCCGGCTGAACAGAAGCCCCACAACCAGGGAGCTGAA